CCTCTTCGACCTGTTTGTTTCCTCTCCACCTATCCTCTCCTCTATCCATCTTCTATCCGCCTCCCACTCTCTCCCTATTTATTTCAGAACCCCCTTCCCCTCCCCCTTTTCTGATGAAGGGTCTAGGCCCGAAACGTCAGCCTCTCTGCTCCTATGATGCTGCTTGGCCTGCTGTGTTCATCCAGCCCTGCACTTTGTTGTCTTGGATTCTCCAGCGTCTGCAGTTCCTACTATCCCAGAGTTCAAAATAGGTTCTGAAGAAGGATCATTGGACCTGAAATGTTAACTTTGTTTCTCTCACCACAGATGCTGCAGACTTGCTGAGTTTCTCCAGCAATTTCTGTTTTTTGTTTCAGATCTCCAGGGTCTGCAGCTCTTTGTTTGGTGACAATGACCGGAAGCCTGCTATAATTAGAACATAGAACATAGAACATAGAACAGTAGAGCACAGTACAGGCCCTTCGGCCCACGATGTTGTGCTGACCTATTATCCTACTAAGATCAATCTACCCTGCATACCCTACATTTTACTATCATCCATGTGCCTATCCAAGAGTCACTTAAAAGTCTCTAAAGTATCTGACTCCACTACCACTGCCGGCAGCGCATTCCACGCGCCCACCACTCTCTGTGTGAAGATCCTACCTCTGACATCTCCCCTATACCTTCCTCCAATCACCTTAAAATTATGCTCCCTCGTAATAGTCATTTCCGCCCTGGGGAAAAAGTCTCTGGCTATCCATTCTGTCTATGCCTCTCATCATCTTGTAAACCTCTATCAAGTCACCTCTCATCCTTCTTCGCCCCAATGAAAAAAGCCCTAGCTCCCTCAACCTTTCCTCATAAGACCTGTCCTCCAGTCCAGGCAGTATCCTGGTAAATCTCCTCTGCACCTTCTCTAAAGCTTCCACATCTTTCCCATAATGGGGTGACCAGAACTGAACACAATATTCCAAGTATAATTCTTAGCCCCTTCTTGCCCATTCTCATTGGGAGGGAGAACTCCAAGGGCTACCAATCAAATATAGTTGTATAAAAAGTAAAAACTGCACATATTTGAATTGAATATTAATAACTCTTTTAGACAACTGTTCAGGAATAAGGGGCGTGAATTTTCATTGGCCGGATCAACAGTGAGAATACATCTCAGGTCTGGTTTCACTCTCAAATGTGGTTTGTTATTGTTTGCCCCTCTCAGTAAGAGTGAAAATTGACTTCCACTGTGTGAATGCTGTCAGGGATAATATTGAAAATTGCCCCTTCAATATTCAAGGGTCTAAATTGGACCTGGTTTGGACTCCCACCCCTTTCCACTTTTCATTGGATGACAATGGCTCACAGGACTTAAACATTAACTCTGCCTTCTTCCCACAGACACTGTCAGACCTGCTGAATTTTGCCAGAAATTTCTATTCTGTTTCAGAACTTCAGCTTCCGCTGTTCTTTGTTTTAGTTATTTTGTAGGATTTTCACCAAGTTATAGTGGGAGGCGGTCATGATGGGTAAGATACTGTTAGAATACTTTTGATTAAATGCAATAGTAGTTTGCATTTATATAGCATTTGGACACAGAGTCTCTGAGGGAAAGAAAGGAATAAATAACAAGCATTTGTGGGAAACTTTGGAGAAGCAGTTTGAGGTTCACAAATGCTGTTTGACTTATGTGGTGATGTGAGATGATAGGCTCATAAGACTGGTACCAGTTAAAATGACTAATTTATTGGTTGTTTATAAAACTAACAACTATCAGACTCTGTCTTATACAACAATGTGCTGTCCATAACAAAGAAAACTACTTTTCATGTCAAGGAAGCTTTTGAATGGAAAATGTTGGTGTAGGGAATGTGCACCTTGAATTGACTATTTTTTAACGCCTAAAGGAAGTGAAACCTGCAATATTAGAGTTTCTGCATGTGTAGCTATCCCTCAATGGAACCACACCCCTGCCAATTCTGGAAACAGTAGAAATTTGATGGAAGGAGAATTGACTGGAGGATTGACAGATTAGAGTCATTGAGTTATAGAGATTATACAGCACAAAAACAGATCCTTCGGTCCAACTTGTCCATGTCCACCAGATATCCTAGATAAATCTAGTCCCATTTGCTAGCATTTGGCCCATATCCCTCTAAACCTTTCCTATTCATATACCCATCCAAATGCCTTTTAAATGTTGTAATTGAACCAGCCTCCACCACTTCCTCTAGCAGCTCATTCTATAAACACACCAATCTCTGCGTGAAAATATTTCCCCTTAGGTCCCTTTTAAATCTTTTCCCTCTCACCTTAAATCTATGCCCTCTAGTTTTGGACTCCCCTACCCAGGTAAAAGACCTTGTCTACTTACCCTATCGATGCCCATCATGATTTTATAAACCTCTATAAGATCATCCCTTAGCCTCCA